CCTTTGTATCTAACCCTCAAACATAAGAATTCAAAGTTTACTGCTGAAGTATTTATCATTACTGACAATGATATAATCCATATCAGCTACAGCCTTTACTGCTTTCGACATCTGCATGACAGGTACCAAATGGCTAGAAAATATCCAAGCCAAGGAGCCCTCAATGTTGCTTGCAACTTTAATTATTATTATTATTATTTATTATTCCGCCGGATTTTGTACCAGAGCTACAAAGAGCACCGCTGGACAGATTCGCTTGAAAAAATTCACCCAGATGCCCATCGAGGTGTAGATATTCCCCATTAAAATCTCAAGGCTGTAGGCCCAATAGCAAAGGGCAGATAATTCAAAATTAATTCAAAAATTTCAAATGCAAATGCAAATATCTCCAAAACTAATGCTCCAATGTTTGCCAAAGTTCTTGAGCAGATGCGCAATCAAAATGCCTACAATTTCGCCTGGACAGCTCAAGTCGCTAAAATGCACCGTTTGGACGTTATTTGGGATTGAAGTTTTTGTTGATGTTTTTCAGCAAAATCCTGACTGCATACCTCCCAAAATGTGCTGCACTAAAACTACAAGGGCTACGGCTTTCAAACGTTGCATACTTTGTGTCTATGCATGTTTCTACACAGTAGCGTCGTCAAATGTGCCTATGTTTATATGATGGCCGCCATATTGACGCTACTTTGCGCAAAAGTTGTCTTCAAAACTTTCACGGCTACTTTGCTATTTTGTGCCAAACGAAACTTACCACATACAACACTTAAACGCTTGTTCTGAATGTGCCTTTGGTTGTTGAACATTTTCTGTTCTTGGTCCTATGTCAAAGACCCTGCAAGCTCACGGCTTTCAAACTTTGAAGAAGCCATAAAAGTTACTGATCAAAACATCTGTTCAACATTATCCATGTGGATAAAGCGTATGGGAGCTAAAGGGAAAAAACTGTTTGAGGCGTGCCCCAAATGAAAGAAAAGAGTGTCAAACAAACTGACCCTCAACTCCAGGCAGAACACGCGAAACGTCACGCAAAAAGTCTTCCAACAACGTACCAGTCATCATAAATAATGCTTACATCCAAAAACCCAAAGTTTGGGCAGATTTAACGAAATAGGGACTTCTTTTTATCACCGACGGCCCAGGGATACATTGCCGAATGTGTCATAAGTTTCATCGACATTTACGGCACGGCAGATTACCCGTGCAAAGCATGCGACAGTCTGAAGGAAGGCGCAAGGACGATATCTCCTATAAAGAGATTACCACTGCAAAGCGTGGTCCACGTGCATATATGGGAGACGATGTCAATTTCAATTGACAATGACGAGAGCTGTCCAGCGTGAGCGGGTTAAACACAAGCTAAACGATACTGAAGTAACAAATAGTATGTCTAAGTGTATTTTCAAAGACAACAGAGGGACAAGTGAAATTCTATTTTCCTCACTGTATAGTTGCTATCTTTATTGGTTCTCTAGAGAGCACAATGAAAATTTGCAGTATGTATCTCAAACGTTTGCTGATCATTTTCTGTTCATGATGAGAGCATAAACATGTGATTCTTTCCGTCCGAATGGCACAGGTGTTATGTGCCAAAACCCAGAAGCGTTACACAAAATTAAAATACAGTGCAGTAGAGGTGTTATATCTTCATTGAAATTCAGTCTTTTGCAAGGGGTATGTCTTTAGGCAGCTTTTAAAGATTGCCAATGAATGAGATTTCGGTCATGGTAAAAGTTGTAGCTGTGGTCTAAGGGGTAACTCTGGTCTAGCTGAAGGAAGGGCTAGTAAAATCGTTCAACACTGCTCACTCGCCGGCTTTGCAATTCGAAGAGTAATGCGCTTTGCCAATCAGTTCTGTCTTGTGGAGCTTGCATGGATGTAAAACTTCATATGTGACCTTTATCGAGCTGTTAGGTGTATTTCCAGTATATATACCTGCTCTCGATTCACTATTCATTTGCAACAGCCCGAGTGTAACAGTGTAATGGATACTAATACAAACTACTGAAGTACCTTCATTGCTGTGAAATTACAAGTTCACTTGCATCAGCGTGAGAGTGAGTGAGTGAGTTTAGTTTTATGCCAGAGTCAGCAATATTCAAGCTATATGGCAGTACTTTACATCATCGACGGCCCAGGGATACATTGCCGAATGTTTCAAAGAGTTTCTCACACATTTACGACACACGGCACATTACCCGTGCAAAACATGCGACAGTCTGAAGAAAAGCGAGGGCGATTATAGCCGCTCCTTCAAACGCGCTGTTTGTAATTGATTCCACACAAAGCGCGAGACAAGTTGTGCACGTTTATTCACCGTGTCAGCATGGATAGCACTTGAAAAGTAATAGGTAAGTATGCAGTCATAACATCTACATCTATATCTACATATCAACATGTGCATGGGATACCTTGGAGACTGTTTGTCGGCTTAATTTCCCCCTCATGATATGTCCTATAAAGAGACTACCACTGCAAAGCGTGGTTCGCGTGCAGATATGGGAGACGAGAGAGAGTGTGTATGGTTGCTAAAAGCTATGTAAGTGTGCAAATGCGCTCCTATCGATCTGCCTTTTCCAAGTTTAGATCCGGTTCTGCACCTCTAAAGTTGGAAACAGGCAGATATTCAAATATGCATGTAAATGAAAGAGTGTGTTTTCAATGTAGTGATAAGATTTAAGTCGAACGTCATGTACTGTTGGCATGTCCGGCTAATGCGACGATGATCTACGTGAAAGTTTATATGGCCATATGTGGTTCAGCTATCCCAACTTCCTAGATTTATGTTATAATGAAGAAATGATTTTACTATTTAAAGAACATGTTTATTTTACAGCCAAAACCTGCGTTCTTCAAAGAAGAAAACTTATTTTATCTTGGCTAAATCCATAGTGTACCTTTTATCATATATGCCACTTCTATGTAATAGTCTCTCATAACCCCTTAATTGTGGCTCATTTTATGTATATGTCTGTATATATCTGTACTTTTACATGAGGTGAGACTTAAAGTAAAATATTTGTCTGTCTTCTCAGGACGTGGACAGACGGTTTTCCTTGATGTCGTCTGTTTTAAGTAAAGGGATTAACTGGTCGAGGAAGTGTTAAAATCCTAACTGTTACCGAATTGTGAAGGTTTCGTGAGTCTGTTCACTCTGGTAGTTCACTCTGGTAAGCGTGGTTAGCATGTGACTATGATAGGTGAGTGAGTTCACTCAGAAATCGCTTGCAGTGTTGACTGATTTCATGAAATGTGTTCACTCCGATAAGTGTACACGCTAGGTGAGTAATAATCACTGTCAGGAAATTGTTGCTACAGTTAGATTACAAATTACTTCTGACATTTCGAGGCGGAAGATATTTCTGCGTGAATTGACACTTACACAATCCTGAAGAGAAGAAGAAATGACTGGTGTTCGTGGCATCAAGTGTTATAAATCAACTGTATCTACAGGTAACGCCATCCTCACACAACCACCCCGCTGATCCAAATGCAACTGAGATTTGTCGATGTTTAATAACCGTGGGGACATTAGCGTCATTGCCGACACAGTGTATTATAATTTTATTAAAACTGTAAATAAACCCTTGTTTCGTTTCCTTATAATTACGCAGTCTAGTATTGCCTGAAGTCTTGCAATCACAAACTCTGTCTATTGTCTGGCGTTAATTAGCTTAGTAACCCAAAGTGGACACATTTTTCTAGACTTTGCTTTTACACGACTTAGGATGTCCACGCCCCGAGAATACCCCTACTGGATACGTTAGTTGCTGTAAAACCACATGTTCACTTGTGTCAGCGTGAGAGGAACAGTGTTATGGATATTGATAAACGCCTTTACCGAAATACAGAAACGACGAGTGCTTCGTGGTCGACATGTCTTTTTGGTTGCTGTTGATATTTAAATGGAAATGGTGTCTACCAACAGTGCAGAAAAATCCGCGACTAAAACTCGCCAGGTACCTCTATCAGTAGGCAATGCACCATAATAAAGAGCATGAAAATGTCATTCTTTCCGTAACATGGCACATGAGTTGTGTTTACTGACCGTTAAATGTGAATCACGACTTGTCAGCTACATGTGACGTACATTTAAATTCACATAATGTCAGTCACAGTGAACCTTTCAAATTATTTTGTTCAGGCCACAAAATTTTCTGTTTCTCTGACTGTTTGAACAAATGGTTCTTCTGTTTTGATATTCATTGTACCTAAGTGATATTATTTAATCTACGAAAATAGGTTTTTTGATGAGTTTATCGAAACTTAATGACCTGTCAGTACTTCCAGTCGAAGAGCATTCGACTAGCAGTGATATGATTCATATTAACTAATACCATTACTACATTCATGAGATATGTGAGAGATGCAAAAGGCTCCAAAGAAGTAAAGCCAAGAAGCCCTACATCGCTGCTCGCAGCTATATTTATTATTATTATTATCATATTATCTTAATATTGTAGTACCCCCATCTATGGCAGCTGGTACAACTTATGTATTATAGCAGCAGGAATTATCTTAATTACAGTGCCATTATGAAGTTCCCGCAGGGGGTTATTACATATAAAAATCATTAATTAAAATCCAAAGTATCTGTTTCCACCTCCGTTTCCGTAGGATTCTACAAACAAAAGAGCATGAGTCAGGATAAGGAAAAATATGTAATTTTCTGAATAAAATTGATATTTTATACTTATCCTGACACTCCTGCCCTCCCATGACACTTTGGATTTCCCTGTAAATTCAAGTGTCGGGCTCGTTAAACAGGAGAGAGTGAAGCATGTGGGAAGAGGTGGTGCCGTCTTTCCCGCGCAATCGGAAAGGGGAGCAACTCTTGGTGAGTACTAATTAGTGATTTTACATTGAAGGGAGCTTCAATTAGGGAGATACAAGTGTTCCACTATGTTCGCAAGAAGAAGAAGACAAGCAAAAGAGCATGAGTCAGGATAAGTATAAAATATCAGTTTTATTCAGAAAATTACATGATGTGTTGCCCAAAGGTGTACTGATAATACATATGATGTGTTGCCCAAAGGTGTACTGATAATACATATGATGTGTTGCCCATAGGTCTACTGATTTTAAGATGTGTTGCCCAGAGGTGTACTGATCATATATATTATTTGTTGACCACACGTCTACAGATTGTAAGATGTGTTATCCAACGGTGTACTGATAATACATATGATGTGTTGCCCATAGGTCTACTGATTGTAAGATGTGTTGCCCAAAGGTGTACCGATAATATATATGATGTGTTGCCCACAGGTCTACTGATAGTAGGATGTGTTGCCCAAAGGTGTACTGATAATACATATGAGGTGTTGCCCACAGGTCTACTGGTGATATCTCTGATGTGTTGCCCAAAAGTCTACTGGTGATATATATGATGTGTTGCCCAAAGGTCTACTGATGATATGATGTGTTGCCCAAAGGTGTACTGATTGTAAGATGTGTTGCCCAAAGGTGTACTGATAATACATATGATCTGTTGCCCAGAGGTGTACTGATAATACATATGATGTGTTGCCCAGAGGTGTACTGATCATATATATTATGTGTTGCCCACAGGTCTACAGATTGTAAGATCTGTTGCCCAGAGGTGTGCTGATAATACATTGATGTGTTGCCCAAAGGCCTACTGGTAGTATATATGATGTGTTGCCCAAAGGTCTACTGATAATATACATGATGTGTTGTGTAAAGGTCTAATGATTGTATATATGTATTTCCCAAAGGTCTACTGATAATATACATGATGTGTTGCCAAATAGTTGAGTTGAGTTGAGTTGAGTTGAGTTGGGCTTTACGTACACCGGCATTATTCCAGCCGTATAGTGACGAGAACAAGTCTGCATTAATATACATTGTAAGTACAAAGTTGTTTCATTTCAAAGGCACACATTCATTACATTGTCATTTTGGAACAGAGAAAGTCATAGCACTAAATTGAAAAGCAGGTAAATTCGTTAGTGACATTACACAGTTACAATTTATGATATAGGTCAGTTTCCCTCAGGTAGTTCAGTATCAGATGAGCGCTCACGCTGGAGAACAGATCTTTCAGATTGGTTGCGTGATAATGCGAGTCCCTTGCAGATGTAAAGTCCACACAGTCCAGCAGAATATGCTTGACGGTGAAAGCCTCATCGCAGGAGAGACATATGGGGGGTCCATCCCCATCCGTTTTTAGCAGATAGTCATGTGTAAATCGACTATGGCCAATACGACATCGTCGTAAAATTACTTCATCATGTTTTGACTGGCAACCCAAGTAGGTGTAACCGATTGTTGGCTTCAATTCATGGAGTTTGTTTCTTCCTACTTGAGTGTCCCACCTTTTTTGCATCAAGTCCCGAGTATAGCTTCTGATAGCGGGTTTGAAATCACTGTACGGGATTAGCAGTGGAGATAGGGGCTTTTCAAGAGCTGCTTTTGCTGCAGCATCGGCCTTAGTGTTACCTGCTATGCCGACGTGACCCGGCAACCAGCAGAGGGCGATGTCATATATTGGCCAGTAGAAAGGTCGTTGTACAGTTTTAGTATGTCCAGGATGATTGGGTGACTTGAAGTCACGTTTAGAAGTGCTTGAAGGCAGGATAATGAATCTGTAAAAACGATGAAGTTTTTGGACTGATTTTGCTGTTGAATGAAGGTCAAAGCTGAGAAGATAGTTTTGGCTTCAGCGGTGAAAATGGAACTGTTGTCAGGGATCCTAGAGGAGACAGTCTTGGCTCCAATGACTGTAGCGCTGACAACTTGGCCATCGTCCTTGGATCCGTCTGTGAAAATGGATCTGTGAGAGTGTTATACTTGAGCGTAACTGGTTGTATTCCTGTTGGAACACCAAGGGATTTGTTTCAGACTTTTTGAGTTTGGTGAGGGTAAGATCGACCTGTGGTTTCACCATTTGCCATGGCGGTGAGGACAGAAGTCGGTATGGTGCAATGATGTTGAGATCAATTTTAGCTACAGATATGTGTGGTTTGATCCTGATTCCAAGTGGTGGAACCAGGCTTGGCAGTTTAGGAAATAAGTTTTCATACAGCGGGTTGAAAACACAATTGTATGCTGGATTGGACTCATTTGAACGTAATTTAGTGATATACTGCAGTGAGAGTTTAATGCGGCGTTGTTCAAGGGAAGGTCCATTGGCCTCCGCATATAGACTGTCTACCGGAGAGGTCCTAAAAGCTCCCAGGCAGAGCCTCAGCCCTTGGTGGTGGATAGAGTCTAATTTTTCTAAATTGCTTTTGCAGGCTCCACCGTAGACAATGGAGCCATAATCTAGTTTACTGTGAACTAATGATCTGTACAAGTGAAGGAGGGTGGTCTGATCCCCTTCCCACTCTGTATTTGAGACTACTTTTAGCAAGTCTAGAGCCTTCTAGCACTTTGTTTTCAAATATTTTATGTGTGGTAAGAATGTCAGGTGGCGGTCGAATATGAGTCCAAGGAATTTGGCCTCTTCTACTACTGTGATGGGAGTACCATCTAAAGTTAGGTCTGGATCCTTCTGTGGTTTGTATTTACGACAAAAGTGAATACAATTTGTTTTGGATTTTGAAAACTTAAAACCATTTTCATTGGCCCATTTTTGTATTTTGTTAAGGCAGAGTTGTAGCTGCCTTTCTATTGCATGCATGTTCTTACCACGACATGAAATATTGAAGTCATCCACGAAAAGGGACCCATCAACGCAACTGTTCAGAACGTTAGTGAGGCTGTTAATTTTTATGCTAAAAAGTGTGACAGACAGGATGCTGCCTTGGGGGACGACCTGATCTTGGTGGAAATAGTCAGACAGTGAGGAACCCACCCGAACTTGAAATTGTCTGTTATTTAAAAACTGAGATATGAATTGAGGTAGTCTACCCTTCAATCCAAACTCGTGTAAATCTTTTAGGATACCATGTTTCCACGTTGTATCATATGCTTTTGAAAAAGATAGATACGGTATGTTGTTTGTTGACAATGGAGTTTTTGATGAATGATTCGAGACGCCCCAGATGGTCAATGGTACTTCGGTTTTTTCGGAAACCACATTGGAGGTCACTGAGGAGAGATTATTGGTCTCCAAGTACCAGATTAATCGATTGTTGACCATGCGCTCCATGGTTTTGCAAACGCAGCTAGTTAGGGATATAGGACAGTTGAGGGATTAGTATGATCGCGGCCGGGTTTTGGTATAGGGATGATAATGGCATTGTGCCTCGAAGGGGGAAAGTGTCCGGATGTCCAGATGTCATCAAATATATTTAGTAGTGTTTCCAAACCTGAGTCAGGGAGGTGTTTCAGAAGCTGATAATGGATTTTATCAGCTCCTGCCGCAGTGTCGTGAGCCTGTCCTAGGGCAGTACGTAATTCATGGAGGGAAAACGTTTCGTTGTAATCCTCCCCATTATCAGAGTTAAAATTGACTGGTTTCTTTTCTTGTTGGGTTTGGTATTTCTGGAACTGAGGGTTATAATTTGAGGAGGAGGAGTGGTTTGCCAAAGTTTCGCCAGTTTCAGATTTATTTGATAGGAGAGAGTCACCATCTTTAAGGCGGTAAACTCCTGATTTTGACCCTTTGCCCTTAATCTTTTGGATCCTGTTCCACACCTTGGACATGGGTGTGCGGGAGTTGATTTTTGACACATATTTCCTCCATGACCGGCGTTTAGTTTGTTTGAAGGTACGTTTTGCCCTGGCATTTGTCATTTTAACAGCATTCAGGTTATGCACTGTAGGATGTTGTCGGAAATATTTTTCCACCTTCTTCCTATTTTTCCTAGCTTGTTTGCAGTTTGTATCAAACCGTGGTTTGTGTATGTGCGGGTTTGCAGAGGACTTAGGAATAGTTTTCTCTCCGATGGCATTTAGGACGTCTGAAAATAGTTACATGGGGTCAGGAACTTTCCTGAAGTTGTCTGGCTTAAAGGTCACATGCAACCAAAAAATCAAACATAATTAAAACGCAATTATCACTTATTCATGACATATAATATACATTGCTGGTTACGAAAAAATATTTATATACAAAATTATAAGCGTACAATCGCAAATCGAAAGCGCAAAATTGTGTACTTCGGTTTACTTCCCAAGAAACGAAGCAGCCGAGATACCGAGCCCAGTCAGAGCAGGTGGGTGTGCACTCAAGTGTAACGGCTGGTTCATTTGCAGATGTCTTCACGGCTAATTGTGTGTATATATATAGAGAGATGTTGGGTTTTGTAAATACATGCTTATTTTTTGTGTATAACATTTTGCAATCAACAGACTTCATAACATGTCATGTGTTCAAGTATCACACCTGCCTGTCTGTGTAATTACATAATGTGACAGAGACCGAACTCGGGCCATAAATCAATGCATTTTGTTTATGGTGTATAGCCTGATTGGTTTTAAGTTCCAACTGCATGTGGTCAGTGATAGCAGCTGTGTATTGAATATTGTCATTAGCAGACAGGCAGGCAGACACACAGGTGTCAATAAAACAAGACATTGAGTTTTGTCTGTGACAACGACATATCTATATCACAGTTAGAAATTCTGTCAACGCTAAATAGTGACATTGCTTTTAAGTATCGAACTGAGAAAGTGTCTCGGTAAGAAGAACGTGTGGTGAAATAGACAAATGAAATCATATAAACAGTTAATTTACTGTCATAACATATAAAAAGCTCGAGCCTGTGAGATATCAACAAAACATTAGAAAAATAGCTCACACCAAAGCCTTCACCGAGTATTCACCCGACAACCCGCTTCCAAGCTGCGCGAACCTATTTACTTGCGCACGTGCTATGAGCGCAGCCCAGCTGTTTAGACCTGTTTTCCCCAGAAAAGTCTGGGGAAAATTAGTGAAACGATTGAACTCCGATTTCACGCGGTTTTTTTCATCGCATTATTTTTCAACTTTATAAGTTGAATTTGCATTTTTGACAATTTGTTTCGGTATGTCCATACCGAAAGGTATCAGAACCTGCAAAGTTGTGTTTTACGTTGCATGTGACCTGAACATAGGGTTTGAAATAAAGGCCAGTTGGCCTTAGT